TTAAAATGTGGATATGAGGACTTCCACTCCCTGCAGTGACAGGTGACAGGAACAGGAGGTATCCGCCAATGTGCAAGTGTCCAGACACATGCAGTTTTCTGCTGTGCTATGTCAACTGTGAGAGGGAAGTGAGAGCTGCACTTTTGTCTCTTTCTCCACAGTTCTGTCAGGTATTGCTTCCGGTGTTTTATTAGGCACAAAAATACTTAGGATTGTTAGGTCTACCTACAATTCTATGTATGAGACTCTATGTTGTGGAATATTTAACTATGTAAAGATGTGTTACACTTGTTTCTGCTGCATTTGTTTAATTATGAAACGATGTGTTGCTGTTTCACTTTGCCTGCCTAAGGCACCTGATTGGTCTAATAAAAAGTTGAACAGCCAATAACTAGGCAGAAGAGGGATAGGCGGGGCTGGTGGCCAGAGAGAATAAGTAGGAGGAGAAATCTAGGCTTGAGAAGGAGACAGAAGGAGGAGGAGAGAACAAGGGAGGAAGAGAGGGAGACACCCAGGACCAGCCAGGCAGCTGCCAGCTAGCAGTCAGAGTAGGAAGCACAGAAAGGTAAAAAGCCCTGAGGCAAAGCGTAAATAAAAAGAAACAGATTAAAATAAGAGCTAAGCTAAGGCCAAGCATTCATAACGAATATTAAATCTCAGTGTCATGATTTGGAAGCTGGTTGGTGGCCCAAAAGAAAAAGCCTGGACAACTCTAAAATTCTATGTATGAGATTCTACAATTCTATGTGTGAGACTATGATTCTATGTATGTCTCCACAATTCTATATATAAGACCCTGATTCTATGGATAAGACTCTGATTCTGTGTATGACTCTATAATTCTATGGATAAGACTCGCAGTTGGATCCCCTAAAAAAAAGACCAAATGCAATCTCCAAGCACTTGTAACATTCTCTAGATTAAGCCATCACTTTGTCACTGTTTGGGTTTGTTTCTTTGTTTGTTTGTTTCTTTGTTTTACATCTGGTGCTGTCGGGTGTATACTGTCTATTATTTCAGAAGCCATTCCGGCTCTCTCTTGAGGAAGGCTGGCATGGCAGGCTAGTGAGATGGCTCAGTGGGGAAGAGCACTTGCCACACAGCCTGATGATCCGGGGTCCAACCCCAGAATCCCTACAGAGGGAGAAAACTGACTTCTGCAAGTTGTTCTCTGACCTTTACATGTATGTGGTACATACTGCCCCCCAACACATGTAGGCACATACAAAATATATTTTAAAAAGTTGTTTAAAAATAAGAATTGGGGCCGGGCGGTGGTGGCGCACACCTTGAATCCCAGCACTCGGGAGGCAGAGGCAGGCCTGGGCTACAGAGTGAGTTCCAGGAAAGACACCAAAGCTACACAGAGAAACCCTGTCTCGAAAAACAAAAGGGAAAAAAAAGAATTGGTACCTTAGAGCAAAAGGAAAGCAAGATTTCTTTGTATAATTCATTTCTTTGCAACTTTTCTATGAATCTGAAATTACTTCAAAATAAAATGTTGAATAACAACAAACAAATGCTTGTTTAAGAATATTTAAGAAGTGTTTGCAAAGAACTCAAAAACCAACTTAAAGGGATTATCTGGGCTCCAAGCTCAAGATTTAACTATCAAGGTCAATCACACATCAATGAGATATTTGAGACATTTTTAAACCCATAGGCTCAAAACAAAAACAGAAAACATGCTGCTCAGAAGCCCACTGAATAGTTCTAATCTGTCTTCTTACAGGAACTGTGTAGCCTAAATAGGGAGTTTACTTTCACAAAGGTATTCTAGCTTATAAATGAAGAAGAAATGGTACAATGGGTGGGCTACCATTCCTCCTTCCCTAAGAACTCTGTAGTCTGTGACAATAGCCATCACTTCATAGCTGCTAATCTCACAACAACTGAGACAGGAACATAACAGAGGTTTCTAGAAGGAAACACACAAATTTCATGTACAACAATTTTGATGTCAGTGTTGTCAAACTGGTAGAATCCAGAGCCACCCAGGAGATGGGCCTATTGGGATTGTCTTGATTACATTAGTTGAGGTGGAAGAACCTACTGCTGTGGATGTCACCATTCCCTGGCTGGGTCCTGGACTATGGAAACAGACAAAGGCCGTGCAGCAGCATGCTTTCCTCTTTCCGTCCTGACTTCAGACAAGATATTAATTATCAGCTCCCTTAAATTAAACTCCCGCTGCCTCCCCCACCATGGTGGACTGTACTCTATAACTGTGAACCCAAACAAAACCTTTCTCCCATAAGTTGCATTTGCCAAGGTAGTTTTTCAACATGCAAACAGAAAAGTAACTATGACAATGGTCTTGCCAAAACAACGGACAAGCCAGGTATAGTAGTGCATACCTGTGATCCCACTCAGATGTGGAGGCAGGAAGATCAGGAGTTCATCAGAATCAAGGGCATTCTCAGGCTACAACAGTATTCTGGAGGCCAGCCAGAGCTACATGAGGCCCTGTCTCAAAACGACAACAAAAAAAATGAATGAACATACTCGGATTAATCTTTCTGAGCAAACTACCAATTTCACAAGGCATGCAAGGAATTTTTTAAACTACTTAAGAGGTAAAACAATGGCAACAGATTCCAAACCGTGAAACAACAAATAAACAACCCAGTTTCTTGCGGGAGGGGGGACAGAAAAAAATTAAAACCATAAGAGGCAATTTGTTTGTTTGTTTTTTCGAGACAAAGTTTCTCTGTTTAACAGTCCTGGCTGTCCTGGAACTCACTCTGTAGACTAAGCTGGCCTCAAACACACAGAGATCCACCTGCCTCTGCCTCATGAGTGCTGGGATTAAAGGCATGCACCACCACTGCCCAGCTCATAAGAGGCATTTTAAAGAACCATTATTAAAAGATTTTGATCAAACTACTACAACATATTGTCTGGATTTTTACTCCTGGGATTTAAAAAGTAAAGATGGAAATATATCCCATTGGCTTATGACATTCTGGTCCCTGGGAAAATGTTATGCAACAAGTTCTTAGGCAGCTGGACCTCTGCTTACAGACCCAACAAAGAGAACACAGGACTCAAAGGTTGTTATTAGGAATGCTATTAACAGTCATACCAACTTGAATAAAGAAAATTTCCCAAGTCCTAGGAAATCTGTACTATCCATAAGCAAAAAAATTGGCATTTCCCAATAGTAGTTGCAGGTGATGTAATGGATACTATTTTTCTTTCCCTAATATTGTCAAGTAACTTTATTAGCCAAAAATTATCACACTGCCTACACAACAGACCATGACAGTCTGCCACTCAGGCTATATTATAATCACCTTTATTCCTCCTCTATCATTTTAAAGAACAGTCCTTTGCAAGTCTCCCAAAACATATTACAAAGGAGAGAAAAACATTTACAAAAGGGAAAACTCACCTTTGACCGGCTCATTTTCTGCTGCTCTTGGGAAAGTGCAGACACAGCTGATGGCAGACCTGTAGAAGAAAAAGGTCACTGAAATTCGGCATTAACTGGTCTACACAGCAACACATCTCTTGCCTGGGAACCACCAAGTGAAATCACAGTCTACAAACACTTTGGAGAGGTAACAAGGGTGACAGGAAGGAACCACACACGTAACTCCCCAACAGGTAGCAGTTGGATGGGCTACACTTTCTTTCTTTAAAGCAGAGTTTCTCTGTGTAGCCCTGGCTGTCCTGGAACTTGATCTGTAGACAAGGGTGGCCTTGAACTCAGAGATCCACCTACCTCTGCCTCCTGGGTGCTGGGATTAAAGGTGTAAACCACCACTGCCTGGCTACACTTTCAATGATGAACTCAACACTGCTTCTGGCCTTAGATGTAAAGGTGCAAAAAGGTTACTTATTTTGTTATTTCACATTCAAATTGGTGAAAATATGTCATGTGAATAAAGAATCTGAGTTTTATACATTTGGGATTAATGTTCCATGAGGTGGCATACATGTAATTCCAGCTGGAGGCTGAAACAGGAGGATCACCGAGTTCCAGAACAACTTGGACAACACAGGGAGTCCACGTCTCAAAAAATAAAAACGGAAAAAAGAAAAATGGTCCAGATAGGCAGACGTTGTACTAACAGTAATAAAGCATGGTTTGTTTTCAAACTATTCAACTAAACTGATGCGCATTTTTAAAAGGAATACGAGAGAAACTGGAAAACAATGGCACTCTTATCCACAAACCCCTGCACGACCTTGGTTAAGTCTCACACCGTCGCAGACTCAGTGTTCCTCCACGAACAGAGGCAAAATCAGACTTCCTGCACTACACCGTTATGATGCCACAAGGGTGGTCAAAGCGCTACAAAGGTAGGAACTAGCAGACGGTGCTGAGTGACACCGTGGGAACCTGGAACCGCCGACCCTTCAAGTGCCTGCACACCTCGTCCTTGGACGGTCCATGCACCCCAAAGCGATGAGGCTGCTCTGCTGTCAGCCCGACCATCGCGACACTCCCGGGCTCCGCAAGCTGGAGACAGCGGGGAACCCAGGTTCACGTAGATCGGTAGGACCTCGGCGAGCGACCAGCCAGGCCCAGCCCCCCTCCCGCGGCCCCGATCTGAGCCCACGGGCCTCACCAAGCAGACGGTCCCGCCGCCCCTGTCCTCCCAGCTCTCGGCCTCCGCGACGCGCTCCAGCTAGGCCTGCCCAGACCGCACAGCTGCGCTTGCCGGCTGCAGACCGGGAAGCTCTGGCCTCGGCCCCACAGGCTCAGCGACTCCAACTTGGCGAACGCAAAAGCTGCGGGAGGGAAGTTAGCCTCCACCCGGGACCAGCAGGGAGTCAGGGCGGCGCAGGGGCGGTGAGCAGGTACGAGCAACGCGCATAGGCCGAGACGCGCATGTGCAGCATCTTACGGGAAGTCGGAGTTCCGAGGCCCTCCTTTCTCCCCAGGAGTTGCGCAGAAACTCTGTCTCCCAGAAGTCCTCGCGCTGCGGCATCTAGGGACCATCGCGCAAGAATATACCTCCTCCCAGCACCCTGAAGGCGGCGCTCAGAGAGCAATGGCCGCCCCTAGGCCTGTTCTCAACACGAAGGTGTTTGTCCTCACTCCCTTTGAGCCTGGAGAAACGGCCTGCGGTTTACTACCCAAATCCTTTTTAGGCCCGGGACTCTTGAAATAGAAGGAAGATTCTGACAGACGGAAAGGAAATTGTGTGTCATTCTCAATTAACCAAACTTCCTTGAAATACTAGGCACAAGAAATACCTAGCAATGCTTTACAAAGAAAGAAGAGAACACAAATGGTGGGTTTTCTAGATCGCATGACTAATGCATAGAAACTCTTAAAAAACAGAACCAGAAAGAACAAAACAGCCACCTGTAATATGACCTCTGAAAGGATCAGGCAACAATGACAAGTTTTCAAAAACGGCCCAATATGATGAACAATTCATCAATTTCTTGCTGAAATAATGCAACCGTGTTCTTGGTCTGATCCTTCATAAAGACGTTGGCATTAAATTAATAACAAAATCTGCCAACCCAGAAAGTTCTCTGTGCCGATGCAGAAAGTAAGAGTTCCATCATAGAAGAAGCACCAAGCCACCCTAAAGTGCCAATCTTAGATAAACTATTGAGGAACCAGCAGAAGAAGGAAGCATTGCTGAATAGCTCCACAGACACTGCAGAGTGCAAATGGTCTCAGGAGAAAGGGTGACTCCTCCTCCTTGGAAGGACTGCTCTTCAAGACGCTGCACCTTCTCCCAGGTCCGTCCTGACGTCACCTAGTAACTGAAGTGTCCATCTGAGCTGATCCTTATCTCATGAAGCAAAAGCTCCCACATCCCTGTTACAACCAGGTAGTTACATCACTGAATGAGAGGCCCAGACTAAACTCCCCAGGTGACAGGGAGATGGGAACCTTCTGTTTACATTGCACAGAGGGGACTCGGGTCTTTCAGAAAAGGAATTCCTTGCTTGCAATGAGGACATTTCAAGCCTATATAATTTTGTAGTAAGATAAGATTTCGATGTGTACAGACAGAACAAGGGTCACCAGTCAACAGGCCGAGACCCTTCTCCTCTGCTCAGATAGAAATTGGGTAAGCAAAGACTTGTGTGCCCACGGTCTGCTGGCTGGACCAGCAGGCCTAGGGGCTTTTGGCTCCAAGTCCTGACCTAGAGGTCTATTGTGTCCAGCTTAGAAACTAGAGATTAATGTCCTGGCCTTTAACCCACTGGTGGCCCTGGCACTTGGCAGATGTTGTAATATATGAACTCCAGCAGCAGCATCAGGTAGCAATTGTGCCTGCTACTGCTACAGGTGTTATGACTCAGTACAACAGACATAAGTGTTACAGCTATTAAGTCCAAGATAGACTCCTAGCTTGATTAAATTCCCCAGGTGACAGAGAAATGGAGATGCTCTTTTCATTGAGGTTTACATTGCAAAGAAGGGACTCTCAGGTCTTTCAGGGAAGGAAGTCCTTGCTTGAGATGAGGGCAGAAAGCTTAGATAATAACAAAAAACCCAGATATGTATCAAAGAGACAATATGTATATCTGCCGTGAATTTTCTCAAGGAAAACGCTCTTTAAAATGGGAAGGGTGGAAAACACTTTACCATATGGCTACAAGCAAAATTTAATCTTTTATTTATACCTCGTTGCTGGTAACCCAGGCCTTCCTGTATGTTAGGCAAGTGTTCTACTGCTGAGTCACACCCCCCCCAGCCCCTCACTGGGGGATTCTAGGCAGATGCTCTATCACTGAGCCACACCCCAACCCCTCACTGGGGGATTCTAGGCAGGTGCTCTACCACTGAGCCACACCCCAGCCCCTCACTGGAGGATTCTAGGCAGATGCTCTATCACTGAGCTGCATTCCCCAGCCCAGTCTTTTTTCAAACTATGTAATGCAAATCACATTATCAAAGAAGATACTAAAAATATGGAACTAAAATTAATAGTGTTGAAAGTCTAATGGTCATAATATACCTTGATGTAAATATGTACTCTTGGGGCTGGAGAGATGGATGGCTTAGCAGTTAAGCCATCTGCTCTCCTAGGGGACTCAAATTGGATTACCAACACCCACATAGTGGTTCACAGCTGGCTATAACTCCATTCCTAAGGTATCTGGTGCCCTCTGCTGGCGTCTTTGAGCATTACATGCTCATGTTCTACAGACAACCATGAAGGCAAAATATCCATACACAAAATATGTTTTAAAAGGAAAAAAAGTAATGCACTATTGCAAGAGTACATGGACTGTAAATCCACTTACACAAATATTTCATACCATTGCAAAATATTTTAAAGGAAAATTGTGAAGTAAAATAAAATACTAACAAACATGTGCTATAAAAGATAAGGCCAATATATATCAACCCCACTTAGGCTAACTTAGGCTAAAAAAATCCATGGGGATAGATGTAAAATTGAGCAGGTACATTCTGAGAGTGTGTGTGATGTTGGGCAAGTTATATACTTACAAACAAGTTTCCTTGTTTGATATTAAAGATTCATAATTCTAGTTCCTGAGTAAATGTCAACTTCTCCGGGTGTAACACCTGGCACCATCCCCTATTTGGGTGGGCCAGACATCAGACCTCACCTCAGGGCCTCCTGAGCAAACAGAACATCTCACAGCTCTCCCATCCCAGAAATTCAGTACAGGCAGACATTCATGTTGCCTGCGGTGGGAAGGTAGGACATTGTTCAGAAACTGGAAAAAGGACCTGAATGGAATAAGTGAGCTGTGATCCAAGATGGAATCACAGGCCTGGGGGAAAAAGAGGAAAGAAGCTGCATCTCGGAATGAAGAATTCCACTGTGTGCCCTTACCTTGGAGGGAGTGAAGGGAAGAGGCCACCTAGGAAGTGGCTGATGCAGTGGTTCATCAGGAGGTCCAGGCTTCAGCTCCAGCTGTCAATTATCACTATATGACTGGGGGAGTCTTCTGGCTTTCAGTTGCCTTAATTAAAGGAGGGACTCAGAGAGTAAATAGTGGTTTGATCTCACATAGCATCTCCTATTTGCAAGAACTGATGATAGGACCATAAAATGGGATTTACAAGGACCAACTCTATGGTCATAAAGCAAATAAAGAGGGTGCATTTTGGGCAGAGAGACAATAATGGGAGAGACGTGTTCTGGATGTACATACCTGATGTGTATATAGAACATACGCATCAGCATTTCATTCATTTTAAATGTTTTTCATTTGTTTATGAGTGCACATGCTGTGATGCGTGTGTGGTCAAGAAAACAACTTTGGAGAGTTAGTGCTCTTGCTCCGCTTGTTTCTGAGGCAGGTCTTGTGCTGTTCCTGTGCTGGGTACTCTGGGGTATCTGGTCAGCAAGCTTCCTGAAGGCAGATTGTAGGCCTATGAGCTTCTGGCAGTCTCCTCTGCCCTCCTCCCATCTTGCTATTGGAGTGCTGGGATTCCAGATACGCTACCACATCTGCTGGTCTGTATGTTCGTTTTGTTTTTGACCTCGGCCCTGGGGATGTCACTCAATTTATCCAGCTTTCACTGCAAGCACCTTTACCTCCTGAGCCATCTCCCCAGCTCTTCATCTCACCTTAAGGTTAATTGTGGATAAATCACATTTTGTTTATGCACTCATCTACCGACAGATACTCAATGATCTGCTGATAGATGCTGGGAGGGTTTCCACTTTTTTGCCTATGGTGAACAAAGTTGCCATGAACATCCGTGTTCAAGTTCCTGTGTGAGTACCTCTTGCAGATATTGACTGGATAACGTCCAGGAGGGCGATTGCTGCGTCATCTGGTAATCCTTTGTTCGACTTTTTGAGGAGCTACCAACCCATTTTTCGTGTTGGCTGCACCATTTCACAATCCTGCCACCAATATAGAGTGCTCACCACACTCTTGCCAACACTTGCTATTCTCCAACTTCTTTATTACCACCACCCTCATGGGTGTGAAGTGGTATCTCATGGTGATTTTCATTAGCTTCCTGCTTTTAAAGAGCATGTCCACTGGCAGCTGTTCAGTTCCCAGGACTCACATGGTGGCTCACAACCGTCTATAACTGTAGTCCCATGGGATTTGAATGACCTCTTCTGGTGTGCAGAAAAAACACCCCAACACCCATACACATAACACAAACAAAAATGTCCATTCCAAGACTGCCCATCAATTCATTACAGACTTTCCACCATTGTTATCTCTTCTCTCTCTCTCTCTCTCTCTCTCTCTCTCTCTCTCTCTCTCTCTCTCTCTCTCTCTCTCTCTCTCTCTCTGTGTGTGTGTGTGTGTGTGTGTGTGTGTGTACACGAGAGGTCAGATGTCTCCCTCAGCTACTCTCCACTTTATTTTTTAATAAAGGGTCTCATTTAGTTTGGAGTTTGCTGTAATCCACAGAGATCTTCCTGCCTCTGCCTCCCCAGCACAGGGGATTACAGGCAAATGCTATATACCTGGCTTTTTCTTTCTGCAATGTGGTTGCTGAGATTGAACTCAGGTCCTTATATTTGTGCAACACTTAACCAACTAAGAAACCAGTCCAGTACCCCCCATGTGGTTTGTTTGTTTTTGAAACAGGTCTCATTCTGTAGCCCAGGCTGGCCTGGAACTTGCATCAATCCTCCTGCCTCAGCCTCACAAGTGTTGAGATTGCAGGTGTGTGTCATCATGGTCAGTTGGGCTTAGGTGAGACATGTGGGGACTTGCTCCCACATTTACAGGCCTGTGTAGAATGACATCCTATCAGTCTCTGATCCTTCCCCCACCAGCTTCCCCCATGCTCTACCTCTAGAACAGTAACAATGCCCTGTTGTATGATATTTTGTCTGTGCTCTGACAAATAAAGCTTGTCTGGAGATCAGAGGGCAGAGTTAGCCATCAGTTAACCATAGAGGCCAGGCAGTGGTGGCACACACCTTTAGTCCCAGCACTTGGGAGAAGGAAGCAGGAAGATCAGGAGTTCAAGGCCACCCTGGGCTACATGAGCTTGAACTAGTCTGAAAAAGAAACAGAGCCAGGCAGTAGTGGCTCATTGCCTTTAATCCCAGCACATGGGAGGTGGAGACAGGATCTCACACTTCATTCAGTCTGAGGATTCACAGATACAGGATTCCTCACTCCCCATTCAGTCTGAGAATTTGTAGAGACAGGATGTCACCCATTCAGTCTGAGGATTCATAAAGACAGGATACACCCCCACCCCCCCACACCCCATCCCCCACCCCTGCCACCCACACTTGGTCTGAGGATTCGTGGAGGTAAGAAGTTTCTGGTGGCTGGGTGCTCTGCTTCTCTGATCTTTCAACTTTCACCCTCAATATTTGACTCCGGGTTTTTATTTAATAAGACTAATTAGGATCACACATCAATGCCATGTACTAAATTGTTATTCTGTTACAGGTAACTACATGGATGGCCGGGTCCTGGGGCTTGCCTCTGTGAGCCATGCCATCTGAATCTGCTTTCTTCAATCGTAAGTACTGGGCCTTCTCACTTGTGAATGCACAGCTTCTCCACTCCTCTTGACCCCTCAGTCCATCCACTGTGGGGACCCATCCTACACGTAATTAGAACTTCTCCACGTGGCTTCCAGGAGGTGCCTGCTCCTGTATTCTCCCAATGGAGGAAAAATGATAACCAGGGGGCTAAGAAGATGGCTCAGTGAGTAAAGTGCTTATCATACAAGCATATGGATCTGAGTTCAAATCCCCAGAACCCATGTTAAAAAAAACAAAGAGCTGGGCAGTGTTCTGACAAATAAAGCTTGCCTGGAGATCAGAGGGCAGAGTTAGCCACTAGTTAATCATCAAGAGTAGGCAGTGGTGGTGCATACCTTTAATCCCAGCACTCAGGAGGCAGAGGCAGGTGGATTTCTGTGAGTTTGAGGACAAGTCTACGTGGTGAGTTCCAGGACAGCCAGGGCTACACAGAGAAATCCTGTCCCAAACAAAACAAAGCAAAGCAAAGAAGGGTGACCTGGGCCTGTCATCTGAGCTGGGGAGGTGGAGACAGTAGATTCTCCTATACTTGTGGCTAGTGAGTCTAGATGAGTCATCAGGCTCCAGGTTCAGTAGAAACTGTCTCAAAAACACAAGGTGGAGGGCTGGCAAGATGGTGAGATGGGTAAAGGCACCTGTTGCCAAACCTGACCATTTGAGATTGAGCCCTGTGACCCATGTGGTGGTGTAAGAGGGATGACCCCAGCAGGCTGTCCTCTGACTTCTGCACCTACCCAAGCCCGCCCCAAATACAATACATCTTAAATGTTTAATAAGGTGGAGAGCAACTGAGTAAGACCAATGTCTACCTCTACATGCACATGTATATGTATCCACATATATGCACATACTAAACATAAATTAAAAAGAATGTATTTTATTTTATATGTATGTGTGTTTTGCCTGCATGTATGACTGCACACCACATGTGTGCAGTACCCTTGGAGACCAGAAGAAGGCTTCAGATCCTCCTGGTACTAGAGTTAGAGATGGTTGTGAGCCACCATGCAGGTGCTGGTAATTAAACCTGGGTCCTCTGGAAGAGCAATCAGTGCTCTTAACCACTAAGCCATCTCTCCAGCCCTGTAAGTTTAAGTGACAAGGAGATGAAACATGACTGTGCCTCCAGTGGCAACCTTGTATATGGATGTCTTGAAGATCAAGGTGAAGATAGGCGTGGTGTTTGCCTCGATCTCCAACCCTGGCTTTTACTTTCCTGTACACTGAATGCTCTCAGTGGAGGGTTATGTGCCCACTGCACATTCTCTGACTATGGCCTCCAGTTCTGAGACCCCACTCAGTGCCTTCCACTTCAGGGCACTACTGGCTTCTCTAAGCTGAGCCTGGTCCCTCTTGTTCAGTGAATTGTGAAGTCTGCATCTGGACAGTGAACTAGGACCTCTCAGGCTTGTGTGTGTGTGTGTGTGTGTGTGTGTGTGTGTGTGTGTGTGTGTGTGTGTGTGTGTGTGTGTGTCTGATTTCCTAAAAGTGTTATTTCCTATATTTACGGAAATTAAATTTTTTAATGTGTGTGTGTGGTGTACATGCACATGCATGCATGCTTGTATGTGGGTGACTGTGTGTATAAGTGCGCACACATGTATGAGTGAATGTGTGTGGAGATCAGAGGTTGACATTGGATGTCTTCCTCAATTATGCTCCACTTTTTCAGAGTCCCCTGAATCCAGAGCTCACCCGCTAGCCTGGCCAGCCAGATTGGCTATGGGATTCCCCAGTCTCCACTTCTGAGTAGTGAGATTACAGAAAGGTTGCCACACCCATTGACTTTTTGTGGGAGGTATTGGAGGCGTCAACTCCAGTCAACATGCTTGTATGGCAACAGCCCCTACTTCCTGTATTTTCCCCATTTGGTAAATGTGACCATCTGGGATAGAAAATCTGGACCCTGAGACCCCACCATGGGTAGAAGCACAGAAGCCCAGCTGCTCAGTTCCTGTCCCACTCTGCTCCAAGGGTCTTACTGGGTATTGAGGGTCACAGACCGATATGCTTCCCAAAGTAGTCGGAAACAACCACTCACTTGGGCTGGTCCACATCAGTTTTTAGCAAGTCCGGAGCTCACAGTCGTCTGGAGCAGTGGAGTCAGTGACTGAAGCTTGGAGGTGTCTGCCAGCCAAGTAGAAATCTGTTGAGACAAATTTAAACTAGGAACAGAAGTTAAAATTTATGAACTTAGTTAGAGTTTTCCTGCCTGGCCCACAGTCAGGACAAATCTCTCTCACCTGCCAGTCCCACAGCCGCTCAAACCCGACCAAGTAAACACAGAGACTTATATTGGTTACAAACTGTATGGCCGTGGCAGGCTTCTTGTTAACTGTTTTTACAGCTTAAATTAATCCATTTTTATAAATCTATACCTTGTCACGTGGCTTGTGGCTTACCGGTACTTTACATCTTTCTTGTCCTGATGGCAGCTGGCAGTGTCTCTCTCACCCAGCTTCCTGTTCTCTCAATTCTCCTTTCTGTTAGTTTCGCCTATACTTCCTGCCTGGCCACTGGCCAATCAGTGATTTATTTATTGACCAATCAGCAACACATTTGACATACAGACCATCCCACAGCACTTCCCCTTTTCTTTTCTTAAAAAGGAAGGTTTTAACCTTTACACATCTCCAAAGTCAGTTTGGTATATTTGGAAATTTGGGCATAGCTTCTCTTACTACTTTCTGTTGGAGGGGGACGCTGTATCTTATGGGGACACAAAGAAAATTTTAGGATCATGCAGTAGTCCATGAGGCTGTATTGTCTGAGTCAGTTGTCTTCAAACCATTCTGGATGTTGGATCATCTGGGCCATGGTATCATCGGAGACCTTTCAGGAGGTCTTGGCTGGTCAAACCTTATGTATCTTAATCTGGAACAAATCCATAGCCTCTGGCTTTCTGTGGAAACAAAAGCAGAGCCTCCTTTTTAAAGCAACATATCTTTACACTTAAATTTTGAAGTCAAGGTACCTTTAAAATATACATTTTGGACTATGAACCAATGGCTGAGGGGTCCCCACTGGATCAGGCCCTCCGAATGGGTGAGACAGTTGATTGGCTTGATCTGTTTGGGAGGCATCCAGGCAGTGGGACCAGATCTTGTGCTCATTGCATGAGTTGGGTGTTTGAAACCTGGGGCCTATGCAGGATTGTTTGGCTCGGCCTGGGAGGAGGGGACTAGACCTACCTGGACTGAGTCTACCAGGTTGACCTCAGTCTGTGGGGAAGGCTTTGCCCTGGAGGAGATGGGAATGGGGGGGGGGGGGGGGGGGTTGGGGGGAAGGTGAGGGGGACGGGAGGGGGGAGAACAAGGGAATCCGTGGCTGATATGTAGAACTGAATTGTATTGCAAAATAAATTAAAATATATATATATATATATATATATATATACATTTTGGCATAACTCAACAGCTTTTGTAATCAAATGTTTTTTTTAGTTATGAATATCAAAGAGAATATAATCCAGATTCTTTGTGTGGTAGCCATCTTTACGTGGCTTATTTTTTTATATTAGCTTGAGCCTATTGGGTTTTTTTTGTTTTGTACTAGCAAAGGCTAAATCCACCACACAGCTTAATGTGCCACTTGTAGAGGCCTCATTCCCGCCATACTGCAGGTCGAGCATGCACGCCAGGAACCTGCCATAGTAGCTCAAACACACAGGCTGCCGCTAGCTTAAAAGAGACAACTAGGAGCTGTTTTTAGCTCCGTTTTAGAATCTTTTTACTCAGGTTTTAGGTGGAAACTCTTGCCCCACGTTGGGTGCCATTTGTAGTTAGAGTTCTCCTGCCTGGCCCACAGTCAGGACAAATCTCTCTCACCTGCCAGTCCTACAACCGCTCAAACCCGACCAAGTAAACACAGAGACTTATATTGGTTACAAACTGTATGGCCGTGGCAGGCTTCTTGCTAACTGTTTTTACAGCTTAAATTAATCCATTTCTATAAATCTATACCTTGTCACATGGCTTGTGGCTTACCGGTACTTTACATCTTTCTTGTCCTGATGGCAGCTGGCAATGTCTCTCTCACCCAGCTTCCTGTTCTCTCAATTCTCCTCTCTGTTAGTCTCGCCTATACTTCCTGCCTGGCCACTGGCCAATCAGTGATTTATTTATTGACCAATCAGCAACACATTTGACATACAGACCATCTCACAACAGTTTGGCCCATACCCTTAGTAACTGGGAAGAGCAGGAGTCCCAAGACCAGGAGAGAGGAAAAATACCATCCTTAGGAATCTGCACTTATCTGGGGTCCTTCCGACCTCTGTGAAGTGGATCCAAGTTTTATGACTCTTTTAACCCTCTGAGGCCTATACCATTCTGTACTGAAATCCATATTGTAGACAAAGCAGGTAATGGGTATCTGTAAAACAGCAGAAGTGGACTTATACCTTTGAGTCCCAACAAGAACTACAGATTTGGGTTAAAAGCTTGTGCATTTTCCTTCTGTCCAGAGAGCCAGGTATAAATTGGACAGAGAGTTTTGACCTGATGAGAAGCAGTTTTAGGTTTATATTTAGATATATTTAGATGACAAATCTAAAATGCTGAGCTTGTGACTGAATAGTAAGTAGTCATAAGTCTACCAGCTTATCAGGACTTTTAAATGTTAAGCTCTGAATCATTATATCATAGAACAGGAAAGCAATCTGAAACATTTTTTATCTTAAATTATTTTTTGAGATCCTTAAAGCTCAGAAGCTTTTCTATCCTCAGACCTTTCTTAGACTGATATCTGAAACTTTATGACTTATTTAAATTTTTATATCTTAGAACATTTTTTTAAAAATGAACTAACAAGCTGGCTATAGCCTTGCAGAAGGATCTTGTTGTCTGATGCTGCCAAGCTGACAAAGTTATAGCTAGCCTAGCCGTCAGTACTATCATAGATCTGAGAAGGATAAATTATATCTGAGTACAGACCAAGCAACTTCCAATTCTATAAATGACAGGGACCAGTCCAT